TCCGGCACAGTTGCACGAGTTATGGCAAGCGCTGCATGCTTTTGAAGCCAAGGTTATTACATTTTTCGTGTTTTTAGGATTGAGGGACATCAGACCAAAAAAAAAAAAATCTAAGACGTTTTCAAAGAAAATTCCTCCACGCAGAAAACCTTCAGCTTCTGTGTGTGTGCATGATTGTCTAGCCATTAATGCACGAAAAAATTATGAAAATTTGACGGTTATAGGATTATTGATTAAACTGCCGGAAAAACCGGAACTCAAATTCGCTGAATGTTCAGTTAACTTATCAAATTCGAGATTTTTCTGGAATCTTCGCACTTTTATATAGGGTTGAAGTACCATGGAGCTTTCTGCAGTATTAAATATTTACTAATAATTGATGAACATACGTCTTCCTGTTTCACATTACATTATTTTTCAGTACGGAAGAAGTCCTGAGCCAAGAAACGATGAGGATGTGAAGCTTCTCAAACATGAGCTTCCTGCAGAAGCCAAAGTGGATGAAAAACTACTGAAAATGTTCAGCTACCAGGTTAATTACCCGCTTTGCCTTTCCTAAAATGTTGGTAAGCATATGCGGGAGCAGATTCCCTGCATGAAGGAAAGTTAGGGGATTTGATGAGATTTGCTTCACTGAGCATATGTTCTAGGCTTCTGGTAATCTTGTATCCATCGCATCGATTGTTGGTGGAATTGCGGCCCAGGAAGCAATGAAAGCAATCACGCATCATATGACACCGCTCAGGCAGTTCGTCTACATCGATTGCTTGGAAGCGTTGCCGGGTGATTGGTCGCCGTATGATAACGAGAAGCTTACTGCCAACGATTGCAAAATGGTCTTATTTTTGTGACATTTTTCCCCTAGGAATTGCTTCCACACCCGAATTTTTACTTAAAAGAAAACTCACAGCAAAATTGCTGGCAGCAGCAAGGGCGCCATCGGATGATTTTTTATGAATATATTGTTAGATGCATGGAACTTATATTGGGTTCAGGTTCAGCAATAGTTCATAATCAAGTTTCCCACCTGTGCAAGTAGCAACTTTTCTAACTGCTTTGACCAGTGGTGCATCGCCCGTTGTTGATCAGCATACTGGCAATCCTAACGTTCGTTTTGTCTCAAAAAAATGACTATCAGCTCAACGATTCAGAGAATAGAAATACTTGGCTTAGTGTTAGCAGGTTCAGGATATGTCTGTTAAGTACCACAATTTTGTCCCAAACGTTCTCCCTCCCAGAACTCGACGGGGTGCCTTATCGATTATTAGAACCCCGGGGGTTAATGTACGGGCATACTTCGATAAAGCGATGACTGATTTTCAATTTTTAAAAAGTTCCTTTGGGTACTCTGTACTGAAAATAGCTCGCCATTTTAGAAGAGGAAAAAAAAAATTTGTTTTTTATCGTTGTAGACGATATTTTTCTTTTTGCAGAAAAACAATCGTTACGACGGGCAGGTTGCTGTATTTGGACAAGCATTCCAGGATGCGCTTGCAAAACATAATTTCTTCATAGTTGGTGCAGGTAACCATTCTTGTTCAAGTTTGATGATTTTTACTTTTTGTTAACTTTTCCGATAACTTTTTTTTATATTTTGATATTTTTATATTTTATATTTGACGACTTTTAGTTTTTTAATTCCGGTGACAGATATTTTAAGCTACATTCTTCTACTTTTGTATGCAAAATCGAGCCAAAAAAGCCCATTCTAGCCAAATTGTACTTGACAAACTCTTCACACGCGTGCTTTTATTTCCCAGCTGAGCAGTGTTCTCCAATCTCTTTGCTTTAGCTTTGCAAATCGATGTTTAATTATTTTTGAGTTTTGTGAAACGGTGGTCAGGGCGTATTATTAAGTGTTACTGGTGAGGAAACCTTCGTAGATGGATTTTTTTTTTTCGTTTCAGGTGCTATTGGATGTGAATTACTGAAGAATTTAGCAATGATGGGTGTGGGTTGTG